CCGCGGTCGACAACGTGGGAGTCCAGTGACATAGCCATTATGCTAAGTGCTGGTCCTGGCCCCTGAGTTTTGAGCTACTAGGTCCAGAACTCGAACCATGGTCAACTATGTGGGAGTCCAGTGACATAACTAGGATGCCATCTGCTGGTCCCCCTCCGGGCAGGTTTTGGGTGTCAGTGTTGCCTGGGACCGAGATGGATCCGGATGGTCTGATGGTACTCTGTCCCGTCCCCCCCCATTCCACAGGGAGCCGTTCCTGCAGGCCAAGCTGAGATCCGAGGACGGCCTGTACCTCATTCACTGGAGCGCCAGCCACCTGCACCGTCTCATCCTGACGGTGGCCCAGCGGGAGCAGGTGGGCCTGGGCCGTGTAGGGGCCGGGTGGGCCAGGACCGGGCCTGCTTCCTACCACCCCCTCCGCCCTCCGCTCACGCCCCACCCACCTCTTGCCCAGGCCCCCGGCCCTCGTAGTGTTCGCCTCCGCAAGTTCCCGATTGAGCAGCAGGACGGCGCCTTCCTCCTGGAGGGCTGGGGCCGTGCCTTCGCCAGCGTTCGGGATCTCTGGGCCGCCCTGCAGGGCTGCTTGCTGCGGGCTGGGGACGACTGCTTCTCCCTGCGCCGCTGCTGCCTGCCCCGGCCAGGAGGTACAGCGCCCAGGGGGCTGCAGGCTGGGGGCGGCTGCGTCTCCCCGAGTCCTGCCCTCAGGTCCTCAGGGTCTTTGCTCCTGCGCTGACCCCCACCCCTAGAAATCTCCAACCTGATCATCATGCGGGGGCCCCGGGCCAGCACCAGGCCGCTCAACCTCAGTCAGCTCAGCTTCCACCGCGTCCGCCAGGACGAGATCACGCAGGTGGGCTGGGCGGGGCTGGGGCAGTGCAGGGCCCCTGGGACGCGGGTCCCGGTGACGTTCCATGCCTTGTCCCTGCAGCTGTCCCACCTGGGCCAGGGCACGAGGACCAACGTGTATGAGGGCCTCCTGCGAGTGGGGGGCCCCACGGAAGACAAGATGGCTGGGGAGGATGTCCCCGAGCCCGGCGGGGGCCCCAGGGAGGAGCTGCGAGTGGTACTTAAAGTGCTGGACCCTAGTCACCACGACATTGCCCTGGTGAGCATGCACACGGGCCCAGGCGTGTCTGGGGGGTGCAGGGGCAGGGGCCAGCGTGTGAGGGGTCGGGTGTGGGGTCCCCTGACCTACCGCTCCCCACAGGCCTTCTACGAGACAGCCAGTCTCATGAGCCAGGTCTCCCATGCACACTTGGTGTTCGTGCACGGCGTCTGCGTGCGTGGCTCCGAGAGTGAGTGGGTCCCCCCGTGGGCCAGCCCCGCTCACCCCTCGCCCCGGGCTGTCTCCCCCGACCCTCACCCGTCCCCTGAGCCCTGGTGACTTCACGGCTCTCACATGGACCCTGAGCTCGGGCCACACCTTGGCCTTCAGTCCCTGACTGCATGGCAAGCCTCGGTAGACACCCAATCCTGGAGACCAGCTCGACCTCCCGTGCCCCCCGACCCCTGACTATTCCCCGACCCTTGGCATGCACCCCGAGTCCCAGCTACATCATGGTCTGCATCTGTCGGTCACCTTCCACAACCCAGCCTTGGGGAGCCACCAGTGTTCCAGACTTCAGTCCTGGCACATCAAACCCCACTTCCATCCCAACTCTACATGTACCCCCAAATCCCTGGTATGGGGTGACCCAGGTCTGCCAGTACCTCAGGCTCTCAAGAGTCCATCTCTCCTTTTGCCTCCTCTGATGTAGGGTCTGCACCCCGGCACCGCTGCCCCCCAGTCCTCGACACCCCTGCTGCTCTGGTACCCTGTTTTTTGTTTTGTTTTGTTTTGTTTTTAAGAGAAATTTTTGCTATAGGGCATGTTTACTCACTCACTGGAGAGACAGAGACGGAAAGCAAAAAATCACCCCCCAAGGGGATGGTCACATTGTAATTCCTTCCCCTCCATTCTCCTCTCAGGATTTTGGGCATACATGCATGTGCACCCTGCTTGAGTTTCAAGTTGTTGGGTCCGGGACTCGAACCATGGTCGGCCATGTGGGATTCCAGTGCCTTGACCACTGTGCCACCTGCTGGCCCCAGCTCTGGTATCCTAACATCGCTTATGCCCCAACCTGAATCTCCACGCCTCTATTTGCATAGACCCACCCCCAGTTCCCGCTTCCTCCACTCACCTGTGTCCCCCTGCATGTCACCCTTCTCAGTGCCCTACCCCACCTGGAACCAGACGCCACCATCCACCAGGGCCTCCCTGCATTTCTCCTCTCCCCAGTCTCCCAAAGCTGACCGAGCCTCTGCCCTGAGCCCTCCCCCAGCTCCCAGAGCCAGGAGGCAGGCCCTATCTCCTGCCCTGAGCCCTCCCCCGGCTCCCTGGCTCCCCGGCCCCCAGGCCTCCGGAGCCAGGAGGCCTCCTCTCCTGCCCTGAGCCCTCCCCTGGCTCCCTGGCCCCTCCGGCCCCCGCAGCCAGGAGGCAGGCCCTGTCTCCTGCTCTGAGCCCTCCCCCGGCTCTCTGGCTCCCTGGCTCCCTGCTGGCCCCCCGGTCCCCCCGTCCCCCGGAGCCAGCCGGCAGGCTGTCTCCTGCAGCAGCGGGGTCTTTGCAGATATCATGGTGACAGAGCTCGTGGAGCATGGACCCCTGGATGTGTGGCTGCGGCGAGAGAGGGGCCGTGTATCTATGGCCTGGAAGGTGGCGGTGGCCCAACAGCTGGCCAGCGCACTCAGCTACCTGGTAGGTGGCCTGTGGGCGCCAGAGTGGCCTCGTTGTGGGGGCAGGAGGCCTGGCCACACCCCTCAGTCCATGTGTTGGCCCTGGGAGATCTTTCTGCAAACCTCCTCAGTCCCATGCCCCAGTCCTCTACCTGGTGCCTGACGCTCTGGGGACCTGGCCCTGTCATTCGTCCCCCAGCTCCTCCTGGTCTGGTCACCTCCCATGTCCAGAGCTACTCCTTTTTCGTGGGAGAGACAAAGAATGCGAATTTAGCTTATAACGTGATGTGTGAGGAAGTCGAGGGCTTGCCCCACGGTCTAGTGGGTAACGGGCCAGACCCCACATGGCTCGATTGCACAGTTCAAAATGCAGCCTAGAATCGCACTGGGCAGGGGCCAGCAAATGGCCTAATGGCTCTGTCGCTGGACTCCCAGGTAGTCGACCATGGTTCGAGTCCCAGACCTAGTGGCTTGCTTTCTCACTTTCTCTCTCTTTCTCTCTGTCTGTTTCTGGTCAAATTAAAATAAATAAATTAATTAATTAAATTAAATTTATCTTAAAAAAAAAAACACACACTGCACACGTGCATGTGTGTGCCCCCCCTCCAAAATCCCAACAGAATGGAGAAATGGCAGAGGATTGTGGCATGACCATGTCCCTTGGGGAGTGCTTTCTCCCTGTCTCTGAACACACCCGTGCTCTGGCAATTAAAAATAAATACGGGGGCGGGCAGGTGGCGTGGTAGTTAAGGTGCTGGACTCCCACTTTACCGACTATACAGTTCAAGTCCTGGACCTGGCAGCTTATTGAAAATCATGTCCGGTGGGACCAGCAGTTAGCGTAATGGCTATGTCACTGGACTCCCACATAGTCCACTGCGATTCGTGTCCCGGACCCGGGGGCTTAAAACTCACGTCGGGCGTGTGTGCATGCGTGCCCAAGATCCCAAGAGGATAATGGAGGAGAAGGGATTGCGGCGTGGCCATCCCCCCTGGGGGGGGGGGTGATTTCTTGCTTTCTGTCTCTCTGTCTCTATCTGGCGAGCGCATGTGCCCTATAGCAAAAACCTCTCCAAAAAAAAAAGAAAAAAGAAAATCATTTCCAGTGCGTGTGTGTGCACGCCCAAAATCCCAAGAAGAGAATGGCAGAAAAGGAATTGTGGCATGGCCATCCCTACTGGGGGCTGATTTCTCACTTTCCCTCTCTTGGTCTCTCTCTGGTGAGCATATGCACCCTATGGAAAAAATCTGAAAAAAATGACTATGAACCAGCGCAGCCTGGTTGGGGCAGTCCAGCATGCTGGATTACAGTGCTGGAAGCCACATTACCAGCTATGGGTTCAAGTCCCCAGGTCAGCCTCGGCACATGCATGGGCACCCAGGATCCTGAGGACTGAGAGAGTTGGAGAATGGGAAATGGGGCCTTTCAAGAGCATGTCTGGGGCTCTCTGTCTCTTTTTTTCCCTTTCTCTCACGCCTGTGTGCACACACTACAGAGAGAGAGGGAGAAATCACCCATGGGGGTTGGCCACACTGAAGTCCCCTCTCCTCTCTTCTCTTGGGACTTGGGGCATGCACATTCAGCTTAAGCTGCCAGGTCTGGGACTTGAACTTCGCAGTCGGCCATGTGGAATCTAGCCACCCTAACCACAGCGCCACCTGCTGGCCTTGTATTTATTTATCTATTTATTTTAATTTGACTAGAGAGAGAAAGAAGGGGGGCAGGGGCGAAGTGAGAAAGCAAGCCAGCAGGTCTGGGACTCAAACCACAGTCGGCCATATGGGAGTCCAGTGCCTTAACCACTACGCACACCACCTGCTGGCCCAAAGTGAAGCTTGAAATAGTGGGCAGCGGAAGGCCTTATTAAAGCCACCCGAAGGAGGGGAAGAAGGGATTTGTCAGGGAACGGCCTTCCTGGTGGAGGGAATCGCTAGTGAAAAGCTCTAGGGAAGACGTGTCACTGGCATGTGTTTGAGGACAGCAGGGAGGTCTTCTGGCCTTTTGTCCCCAGCTAAGAGGACACTCAAGCCCGGTACTGCCTGGTCACGGAGATGTGTTGGTAACCCGGTAGTGCCCACGATAGCGTTTTCCACATAGGCTGGCCTGATGGAAGCCCCTTGGGATGGGGGCTGGGAGTGGGGTCTGGGCCCTTCCCCAGTCGCCACACCCTTTGGTCCTACCCCAGGAGGACAAGAACCTGGTTCATGGTAACGTGTGTGGCCGGAACATCCTGCTGGCCCGGTTGGGGCTGGAAGAGGGCACCAGCCCCTTCATCAAGCTGAGTGACCCCGGCGTGGGCCTGGGCGCCCTCTCCAGGGAGGGTGAGTACCCGAGCCGGGCTGGGCACAGGGATGGAGTTCCCTTGCCGCGTCTGCCTCAGTAATGTCTGACCCTGGCCCCTAGAGCGGGTGGAGCGGATTCCCTGGACGGCCCCTGAATGCCTGCCCGGAGGAACCAACAGCCTCAGCACCGCAGCAGACAAGTGGGGCTTCGGCGCCAGCCTTCTAGAAATCTGCTTCGATGGGGAGGCCCCTTTGCAGGGCCGCTGCCTCTCCGAGGTACTTCCAGGGTATCCCTGGGCCTTCTCCGCGCAGGGGGAGGCCAAAATGTGCAAAGATGTGGGGCGGGACGTGGGTGTGGCCTTCCTGGTCTGACCAATTGGAGCCTCTCAATCCCCCCCCCCATAGAGTGCCTGGCTTATTAGCATCCAGGTGGGCGTGGCTGGGGTGTGCAAGGGGTGGGGCCAGGGTGTGGGTGTGACCTTCCTGGTCTGGCCAATTAGAGCCTCTCCATTTCAGCCTAGAGGGCGTGGTTTATCAGCATCCGGGTGGGCGTGGCCGCGCAGGCTTCTTCCCACCTGGGAACTCCCAGAAGTCCTTAGCTCCCTCCTAGCGGGTTGGTCTTACATGCGTTGCGTTAGGTCTCTGGGCCTCTTAAAGATTGTGTGTCAGTCGGTGGCCCGTAGTCCACAGGAGTCCCTGAAGGTGGACGGTCAGGGAATGGTAAAATCCGGTGCAGCAAGGGCCGAGTGTGACATGCTCCAGGTCGGCCAAGGCAGTGAGGCTTGGATCCCAATACGGGTGCCATGATGGCGAGGCCGCACCTGTTGGGTGCCATGATGGCGAGGCCGCACCTGTTACCTGTTCTGTAAAATGGGAATGACAAGGTTGGCCCTGTCCAACCCTGTTACTCTGGGGGTTTGACTATGGAGGGAAAGGCTCGTGGGGTCCTGACTGCTGTGGTTCCCCTCCTCCCACAGAAAGAGCGTTTCTACCAGAAGCAGCACCGACTCCCCGAGCCCTCCTGTCCAGAGCTGGCCACTATCACCAGCCAGTGCCTGAACTATGAGCCCGCCCAGCGCCCGTCATTCCGCACCATCCTGCGTGACCTCACTCAGCTGCAGCCCCACAGTGAGCCCCGTCCTGGTGCTGGGACCTCAGGGAAAGGGGAGGGTCGGAGCCCTGCAGGTGGCACAGTTGACCCAAGAGCTCCGCGGTGCCCGTTCTTAATTCACTTGGGCTCCTGGCTGCCTAGAGCTTCTTAATGTTTTGCTTGGAGAGCTGCACAACCTCTTTGGATAAATTAGACCTTCACAGTTTTTTCTTTGTTCTTTTTATTAAATAATTATTTTGTTTTACCTTATTTATTTATTTATTTCAATTTGACCAGAGAGGGACAGTGAGAGAGAAAGAGAGAGAAAGTGAGAAAGTAAGCCGCCAGGTCCGGGACTCAAACCATGGTCAGCCATGTGGGAGTCCAGCACACCACCTGCCAGCCCCTCTCTTTGCTCTTGATGAAAGTCTTAGAACATCCCAACCACCCATTTTTTATTTGTTTTTTGCTAGAGGACGCCCACGTTCACCAGACAAAGGGAGAGGAGAAAGGACTTGCCATGGGGAACAAACGTGTTGCAATCCCCTTTTCTCCATCTCGCCCTTATTTTGGAATTTGGGGCATGCACCAGGCTGAGTTTTTCTTTCTTTCTTTCTTTTATTAAGGTTTTATGTATAGGACACATGCCCTATGGGAGAGGAAAATAACCCTTCACAGGATCACATGCCTCGATCCCTGCCCTCCAGCCCTCCTGCCCTTTGGATCTTGGGCATGGTTCAGGCTGGCCAGGCCAAGGATTCGAACTGTGGTCACCATGTGAAGCTCTCCATTTGCTGCAGTGGGGCTTTGCATTTTGGGTAGGAGGCAGAATTGTCGAGCTATTGCAAATAAGTTTCCTTACTTGGAGCTGGTAGGTGGCGTGGTGGTTGAAGGCACTGGTTTCCCACATGGCCAACCACGGTTCAAGTCCTGGACCTGGTGGCTTGCTTTCTCCCTTTCTCTCTAGTCAAATTAAAAAATAATAATAAATATAAATAAATCATTCTTGAAAAAAAAATAGTAAGTTTCCTCACTTGTGGGAGTGGACGCTGGGGAAACAGCTCCATTCGAGCCTCACCTTCTGCAACCCTTCCAGATCTTCTCGATGTCTTGGCGGTGAACCTCGACTGCCCTGCGTCAGACCCCACGGTTTTCCACAAGCGCTATTTGAAAAAGATCCGCGATCTGGGTGAGGTGAGGATGAAGCCTGGGCTGCTGAAAAGCCCACCACGGCAGTGTGGGATGGGGGAAGCTACAGATTAAGGAAGTCCTCCTTAAAAGTGGTGTTTGGCGGGGTCGTCAGAGGGCGTAATGTTTACATTGCTGGACTCCAACATAGTCAACCACGGTTTGAGTCCCAGACCCGGCAATCTAAAACTCATGCCGGACGCGTGTGCGTGCATGCCCAACATCCCAAGAGTAGAATGGAGGAGAAGGAATTGTGGTGTGGCCATCCCTCCTGGGGGATGATTTCTGGCTTTCTGTGTCTCTGGTGAGCACACGTGCCCTATAGCAAAAAAAACTCAAAAAAAAAAAATGAGTGGTTCTTGGGGCCTGGCCTAGTGGACCCTGAGCTTTGAGAGAGGTGGTTGGATTGGAACAGGGTCGGGTCGTAAGCCTCAAAGAGATCCATCCACACAGTATAGTGGGACCCAGGACTTTCCAAATAGACCTGCCTGTAGGCGTGGCCTGGAAACTTTGCGGCAGCGGAAGCTGATGCATTCATTCTGTGTGTCCCCGATAGGGCCACTTCGGCAAGGTCAGCTTGTACTGCTATGACCCGACCAACGACGGCACTGGCGAGATGGTGGCTGTGAAAGCGCTCAAGGCGGACTGCAGCCCTCAGCTCCGCTCTGGCTGGAGGCGGGAAATCGACATCCTGCGCATGCTCTATCACGACCACATCGTCAAGTACAAAGGCTGCTGCGAGGACCAAGGTGGGCGGGTCCGGGGCGGGCTTATGGTGTGGGTGTGGTCTTGTGGGCGGGTCCCGCCTGAGCTGGCCAATTACAGTCTCTCCACCTTGGGGCGTGGCTTGTAGGCCCGAGGGCGGGGCTGACCAAGCTGCTTCCTGCCTACTTTGGGGGCGTTGTCTGCTGGCGCCAGGATGCACCGGAGTCACTTGCAGATCTCTTTTGTGGGGTCGGGGTTCAGGACAGGTCCATCCTCCCTGAGGACTGGGCCTAGCATGGGTGGGTCTTGGGTTGCCCTCCTTGCCCTGGAAAGGGCTCTGCAGGGTTCAGGGCGGGCAACTCCTAGCTCCTCCCCCTATGTCCCCCCCCTTCACCCTCTCTGCGACAGGTGAGAAGTCAGTGCAGCTTGTCATGGAGTATGTGCCTCTGGGCAGCCTCCGGGACTACCTGCCACGGCACAGCGTCGGGCTGGCTCAGCTCCTGCTTTTCGCCCTTCAGATCTGCGAGGTGCGTGGGCCCACCCCTACCTTAAAGAACCTTCCCCATCTGCTTCGGCCTGGCCTGAACAGGCCCATCCAGTCTGCTCAGCTGCCTCTATTCATGGGACACGACAGGGTCCTTTTGTCCTTGAGCGTCCCTCCGTCCTCCCTCATCCTATGCACCTGGCTATAACCCGGCAGGCTGCACCTCTAACCCTGCAGTTTCCATTTGCTGGGACCACCTCTGCTTGCGTAGCCACGCCAGCAGACCCGGTCCCACCCAGTTCACCAGGAAGGTGCCCAGCATTGCTTGTCTGGCCCCGCCATTGCTTTCTGGCTCTGTCACCTTTTGCTTGGCTCCCCGCAGGCCTGACCTGAGTGTCCCCCAGCCATCCTGGTTGCCAGCACCCCCTGCCCATTGATTTTGACTCGTCCCGCCCTGCTCCGCTCCCAGGGCATGGCCTACCTGCACTCGCAGCACTACATCCACCGAGACCTAGCCGCGCGCAACGTGCTATTGGACAACGACAGGCTGGTCAAGATCGGGGACTTTGGCCTAGCCAAGGCTGTGCCCGAAGGCCACGACTACTACCGCGTGCGCGAGGATGGGGACAGCCCTGTGTTCTGGTGACCAGATGGGGCACAGCCTGATGGGGGGGAGGGGATCCTAGGATCACTTGGAGCAAGCACAGTGGAGGAGACAATGCTGTTGAGTGACAACACTTGATCCAAGAGGAACTGGGTGGAGCCTAAAGTTGTGAGGGGTGGGGCTAGAGCTTAGCGTGCCCTGGTGGGCGGGGCCAGCCTGGCCTGGTCAGGGGCTCACTTTCAGGCTGTGCCTTTAAGAGAGGAGTTCCCTCGGGACCAGCAGATGGCATAATGATTGCGTTGCTGAACTCCCACATTGTTGACCACAGTTCGAGTCCTGGAACTCACACCGGGTATGTGTGCATGTGTGCACAAGATCCCGAGAGGAAGTGGGAGTCCCCAAAAATCTCTCTCACACAAAAAAAGAATGAAGTCCCAGCGGGAGCCAGGGAGGTCTTTTAGTCTTAAGTAAGGCCTTCAGTCTGGTCTGACTCCCAAACCCTGAGTCTAGCCCCAGGCCTGCATGTCTGCTCCCTCCAGGTATGCCCCGGAGTGCCTGAAGGAGTGTAAGTTCTACTATGCATCGGATGTCTGGTCCTTCGGGGTCACCCTGTATGAGCTGCTGACGCACTGTGACTCCACCCAGAGTCCCCCCTCGGTGAGAGCCAGTCCCGCCCCCGCCCACCCCCCCAGTTTGCTGGAGGAGTTAGGCGTGCATTTGAATCTCGGCTCCCCACCCCAGCGAGCATTTAACCCGGCCTCAGCCTCCTAATCTGGATCTGTAAAATGGGCCACTTACCGGGCAGGGGACTTCAACTATGACACATTCCTCACTCAAATGATAGTAAGGCAGGGAGACTTCATTCCACCATTTGAAGACTCCTTGGAATCGTGGGGGAGGGGGCACAGCTCATCTGGACCCTCAGATATGATCAGGAAGAAGTGGCACAGTGGCTAAGGTTCTGGGCTCCCACATGGCTGACCATGGTTCATGTCCCAGACCAGGCAGTTGGAAAATCACACCAGACATGTGCGCGTGCATGCCCAAAATGCCCAGAGGAGCATGAAGGCGAAGGGATCCGAGTGTGGCCACTCCCCCTGGGGGGTGATGTCTCGCTTTCCCACTTACTGTCTCCCTTTGGCTAGCAAGCATATGTGCCCTGTGGTAAAGCCTAAAAAAAAAAAACGAAAAACAGCGCGGCTCCAGGGTGTGGTGGCGAAGGCATACAAGTTGCATGTGGACCACGCTGTGGCAGTCCCGGATCTGACGGCTGAAGCAACATGCCAGGCGTGTGCGGTGGGCGGAAAAATCTCAGAAGGAGGGGGCGGGGGAGGGGAAGGGATTTCAGCATGGCCACGCCCCACAGGGAGGCTTCCTCCTCTCCCTCTCTGGTAGTGCAGGTCCATCTCACAAAAAATAATAGCAAATATCTCACTCTGTCTTACTCATTGAATATTTGTGTATTTGACTCTCTTTTTAAAAATTTATTTATTTTGGGATAGGTTTTTGCTATAGGGCACATGCGCTAGCCAGAAAGACAGAGACAGACAGACACAAAGTGAGAAATCACCCCCCGGGGGGGTGGCCACGCCGCAATCCCTTCTCCATTTTCCTCTCGGGATCTTGGGCACGCACGCATATGTGCCCGGCGTGAGTTTTTAAGCCACTGGATCTAGGACTCGAACTCCGGTTGACTACATGGAAGTCTAGCAACATAGCCATTAGCCAACTGCTGGTCCCATACTCTCTTTTAAATAATTATTTCTTTTTCTTTTTTATTGTTATCATTCTTCGGTTTGCTAGAGAGCATATGCATTTACTAGAGTAAGACAGAGGGAAAGTGAGAAAACCAAGCTGCCAGGTCTGGAACTCGGGACTGCAGTGAGCCATATGGGAGTCCAGCACTTTAAGTACCATGCCACCGGCTGAGCCCTGTTTGTTGTTGGTTTTTTCCCCGAAGAATTATTTATTTTATTGTATTCACTATCATTATTTTCTTTAATTTGACCAGAGTAAGAGAAAAGGAAAGTGAGAAAGCAAGCCACCAGGTCCAGGATTTGAACCGCGATTGGCCACATGGGAGTCCAGCACCCTAACCACCACACACCACTCGCTGCTCCCCAGGCCCCAGTTTATGTAACTGTCATAGTAAACCCTCCTAGTAGATGTCGTTATCACCCTATTTCACCCCAGATCCAAAGAAGTGAAGTCAAATGATAGCCGAGAGAGTAGAGGTGGGATTAGAACCCCTGCAACTAAGCACCAAGCTTTGCACCCCTACCTGAAGCACCCTGCCTCCTCTTGAGAAAAGCTTTTCTCGTTTTTCTGTAGAAATTCATAGAGCTCATAGGCCTCACCCAGGGGCAGATGACGGTGCTGAGACTCACAGAGCTACTGGACCGTGGGGAGAGGCTGCCACAGCCCGACAAATGTCCCTGTGAAGTGAGGACCCCCTTCCCTTCCACCCCTCCCCACCCCCTCCCGGCAGAGCACCAATCACAGCCCCGCTCCTCCTCTCCCCGCCCCCTCCCGGCACCCGGCAGAGAGCACCAATCACAGCCCTGGTTTGTCCTTCCCCAGATCTATCGTCTCATGAAAAACTGCTGGGAGGCAAAGGCTTCTTGTCGCCCGACCTTCCAGAATCTTGTCCCCATCCTCAAGACCGTCCAAGAAAAATACGAAGGCCAGGCCCCTTCGGTGTTCAGCGTGTGCTGAACGGCATGCTGGGGGAGCGGGACCCCCCAGCACGTGCCCACAGAGTGGGCTTCCTCCCCACAACGGAGGAGCCCAGCAGGTGGGAGCTAACCCCACCCACCCGTGTGCCTTACTCCTACCTGGAGACCCCCTCTCTGCAAACTGACATTTCTTCCACAACCACGACCGTGACCCTGGGGGACCCACAATGGGCTTAGGAGGCCCTAGGCTTCCGTCCTCCTGCCACCCCCCAGCCCGTGCACTTGCGACCCTCCGTCTCTGCTAGCTGGTAAGAAACATGTAATTCCTCTGCCGAAGGCTGCGGTCCCTGGGGGCCCTTCAGCAAGGCGGGTTAGCCAGGGTCTGTCGTCCCAGGGACTGTGGCATGCGCCATTCGACTCTTCAACTATTTTTTTAAGAGAGATTTTTGCTATTGGGTGTGAGCGCTCACTAGAGAGAGAGAGAGAGAGAGAGACAGAGAGAAAGCGAGAAGTCATCCCCCAGGGGGATGGCCATGTTGGAATCCCTTCTCATCCAGTCTCCTCGAGATTTTAGACATGCACACATATGCACCTGGCGTGAGTTTGAAGCCACCGGGTCCGGGACTTGAACAGCAGTTGGCCATGTGGGAGTCCAGTGACATAACCACTGTACGCCATCTGCTGGTCCCGAATGTTTTCACATTTCCTCATCTCTGAACCAGCAGTCAGACCAGTCCCTGGTACACAGAAGGTGCTCAATAATTACTTCTCAAATGTCCTGAGTGTTTGGGGGACCCCGTGCCACATAGCTAAGATTCTGCCAGTTTGTCTCTTCCTGTGTGACCTCAGGCCGATAACTTGACCTCTCTGGGCCTCCGTTCTTGGACTGTGGGAGTCATGCTTGCTACTTCAGAGGACCAATGTAAGAAGCTGACGAGGTGCTCTGTGTAAAATGCCCAGCAGAGATATGCAAACAAACTCTTAATAAATGTTCCAAATTATTTTTCTGGTGATTCCCAAAGTGTTTCCGTGTGTTTTGTTTTGATAATTTGCAATAGGGAATGTACACTCACCAAGAAACAGATAGAAAGAGAGGGAAAGTGGGACCAGTAGATGGCGTAATGGTTATGTCAACGGACTCCCACATAAGTCAACTGTGGTTTGAGTCCCAGACCCAGTGGCTTAGAACTCACGCTGGGTGCATGTGTGTGCATGCCCAAGATCCCGAGAGGAGAATGGAGGAGAAGGGATTGTGGCACGGTCATCCCCTCTGGGGGGGTGATTTCTTTCTTCCTGTCTCTGTTTCTCTCTGACTCTCTGAAAAAACTAAGAAAGAAAGAAATTACCCCGTCGGGTGAGAAGTCACCCCCCCAGGGAGGATGACCATGCTGCAGTCCCTTGTCCTCTTCTCTCGGGGTTCTGGGCTTGCATGTGCACGTTCCCAGTGTGTTCTTCAGCCCACGGGGTCTGGACCTCTGCCTCTGCAGTCAGCCTGTGGGACCCAGCTGTCTTACCCTCCACACCACCTGCTGCCCCAGACTGGCTTCTTTCACCGTGTGATATACATTTACTTGTTTATTAAAAAAAAAAAAAAAAAAAAATTAGAGAAAAAAACAATTTTTTGGGGGGGGGGGAGAGGTTTTTGCTATAGGGCGCATGCGCTCACCAGAAAGACAGAGACAGAGAGACAGAAAGCCAGAAATCACCCCCCAGGGGGGGTGTCCACGCCACAATCCCTTCTCCTCCATTCTCCTCTCAGGATCTTGGGCATGCACGCATATGCACCCAGCGTGAGTTTAAGCCACTGGGTCCGGGACTCGAACCGCGTGCAACTACATGGGAGTCCAGCGATATAGCCATTATGCCAACTGCTGGTCCCTATAACCCACTTCTAAAAGACATCTTGGTTGCTTCTAAATCTGGGCACCCAGGAATACAGCTGTTAGAAACGACTGTTAGCAGGTGCCGTGTCCATGGGTCAATTAGTTTTTATATTCTGATTGCCAGAGGGTGCGTGCACTCACCAGAGGGATACAGGACGACACCGGAGGAAGGAGAACCCCCTTGGGGCGTAGTAATTTCACAACCCCTTCTCTCCATCTGGTCGGGACTTTGGGCACACGCATTGTTTTCCTTGCCTTTTTTTCCCCCAATAACTGAATATTTGGGACCAACAGGTGGCGTGGTGGTTAAGGTGCTGGACACTCCCAAAAGGCCAACCCTGGTTCTAGTCCTGTACTTGGTGACTTGCTTTTTCTCTCTCTCTTTCTTCCTCTCTCTCTCTCTCTTTTGGTGTCTCTCTCTGGTCAAATTAAAATAAAATGAATGAATAAGGAAAATGAAATAATACTCTTTTTGTCTTTTTTGGAGAGGCATTTTTTTGCTATAGGGAGCATGTGCTCACCAGAAAGACAGAGACAAAAAGACAGAAAGTGAGAGATCCCCCCCCAGGGGGGATGGCCACACCGCAATCCCTTCTCCTCCATTCTCTCGGGATCTTGGGCACGCACACACACGTGCCCAGCGTGAGTTTAAGCCACCGGGTCCGGGACTCGAAGCATGGTCGACTACGTGGGAGTCCAGCGACATAGCCATTACACTAACTGCTGGTCCCTTCCCTGACTCTCAAATATTTGGTTTGTGTTATTTATAGTCTGCGCAAATAAAAAACTCAAAGCCGGTCCACATTTCATTGAGTTGAGAGTGATTTCCTGTAAGTCTCTTAGTCTCTGGGTTCTTCCTCTCTCTTTCTCTTCTGTTTCCCCCTTGCAACACACTTGTTGATAAAACTGAGTTGTTGCCCTGGAGACAAGGCGGTCTGACGTCCTCTTTGTGGTGAGGCTTAACGCACATCTACCCACTGTACCTGAGCCGGCAGAAACTGATTCAGTTTCGATTTTGGGGAAGACTGCTTCTAGTGTGGGGTCACAGATCTGCTTTTCCTTTTTCTTTTTAAGAAATATTTATTAAATCGTATTTGTTATTATTTTTATTTTTACTTTTTTTTTCAAGAACTAGTTTGCTTATTTGTTTTTATTTTAACTCTATTTATTTATTTATTTTTAAGCTGACCAGACGGGCTGGAAGAGAGAGAGAGAGTGAGAGAAAGAGAGACAGGGAAAGTGAGAAAGCAAGTCGCCGGATCTGGGACTTGAACCACAGTCAGCCACATGGGAGTCCAGTGCCTTTAACTGCCATGCCACCTGCTGGTCCTCAAGAACTAATGTATTAACTTTATTTATTTATTTTAATTTGACCGGAGAGGGACTGAATGAGAGAGTATGAGAGAGATGGAAAGTGAGAAAGCAAGTCGCCAGGTCCAGGACTAGAACTGCGGTTGGCCGTGTGGGAGTCCAGCACCCTTAACCACCATATCACCTACTGGTTCCATTACTATTATTTTTTAATCTGACTAGAGAAAGACAGAGACAGAGAGAAAGAGAAAGGGAGACAGTTACTGCCAGGACCAGGACTCGAACCGCCGTCGGTCATGTGGGAATCCAGCACCCTTAACCACCATGACACCTGCCAGCCCCCTTTCCCTGATATAGTTTGAAAATTTTCAAACATATAGGAAGTTAGGGAATTGTAAAATGAACTCCCCTACATTCTACAATTAATGTGTTCCTGTATTCTTTTAGTTTGCCAGAGGCCACGTGTGCTGGCCGGAGAGAGACAGAGACAGAGAGAAAGGGAGAAAGCATGCTTCCATGGGGCATGGGCACACCGCAGCATCCTTCTTCATCTCGTTCGGATTCGGGACGCGCACGCACACAGGCCTGCTGTGCTTTTCAAGCCCCAGGGGCTGGGATTCAAGCCATGGGAGTGAGAGACAAGCCCCGAGACAGCCTCCCACACTGCGAGCCGTCCACACCCCACCTCCCAGCCAGCTAGGAGTCATGTCTGGAGTGGACAGGTCAGCCAGGGAACACAACCACTATCTTGCGTCTCGATCCGGCATTGCTTTTTTTTTTTTTTTTTAAAGATTTATTTATTTTTTCGTTCATTCATTTTAATTTGACCAGAGAGAGAGAGAGAGAGAGAGGAAAGTGAGAAAGCAAGCCACCAGGTCCAGGACTCGAACCGTGGTCAGCCACGTGGGAGTGTCCAGTGCCTTAACCACCACACCACCTGCTGGTCCCATCGATCTGGCATTGCCTAATCGGGGTGTCACTGCTACCACAGAGCCCGTATTCCCCTTTTGTCTGCCCCCCAGGAATGTTGAGCTCTCGCACGTACCCCCTGAGGGTGTGCGAAAGTCTCTCCACCCTCCTTTAGCTTCCCCTTGAAACATTGCCTTGAAATCCCACCTTAAATCTGCCAACGATGCCTAGGAGTGCCCTGTTACTCACTTCCTCTCTGGGGACAGAACACCCCCCCACACCCCGCTACAATTCAGCGGAAGGCGGTGTCTCACCCCCCTGCACGCTCCACCCCAAAGCTGCCAGTGAGAACAGCTGAAACTCAGGAAACCCAGCCGGTGGTGGTGGCTTTTTCTGTGGGTTCATCTAGGGATCTAGGGGCCCGCAGTGCAAAGGAGGTGTGCTCTCCCTCCTCCCCAAAGACATTCCCCATTGCTGGTTGCTTCCCTGGGCCCGAGACCCTGGCCCCGTTGGGCAAAGGACGCACCCCCTCCTGGCTCAGGCCTGGGCAAGGTGCAGGAGGAGGCCTTCTGCAACACCAACCGCTGGGCTTCCGGTCCCTATGGGCCCCGCCCCCTCCCCCTAGCCTGCCAACTGGGGGCCCCTTTCCAAGGCACCTTTCTCCCTCGGGGCGGCCACCATGGAGTCCTCGGGGCTCCCGCCCTGGACCTGCCTGTCTTCACTCATCTTTCTGCTGCTGGGCTGCGGTCTGCCCCTGCCAGGTGAGGCTTCTGAAGCAGGGAGGGCTGCTGGGGGGACGGGGAAGGGAGATGGCGAACAGAGGAAGCCCAGACCCCTACATCGTCCCGCCCTCCCTGGCCTCTGCCAACACCCCCATCATCTCTGATATGATGGGGTCCCCCCGTGGGTCCTCAGAGAAAGTTCTAGTTCCTTAACTGAGCCTTTTGTGGTTAGATCCCCCTGCAGGGCTTGTGCCCGCCTTTACAACACACTCACACGCGCGTGCACGCACACACATGCGCGCACGCTTTCTCTGCTCCAGCGGGACCCCCTCGCCTTTGCCCATGGCGTTGTCTCTGTCTGCATCACTCTGCTCTCTCGTAGGAGGCCTTCAAACTGGCTATCCCTGTTTCCTCCTCCAGGAAGCCTTCCTGGGCTTGCCTCCTCTTGTAAGCTGAATCAGAGCCTCTCCTGGTGTTCTAGTCAGTTCTTTACTGATAAGAGAAAATATCTGAAGCTGGGTGATTTATATGAATAGAGGTGAGGCCAGCCGGGAGGCATGAAGGTTAAGGCGTTGGATCTTACATGGCTGACTTAGTGGTTTGAGTCCTGGATCTGGCAGCTTGAAAAACAGGTTGAATGTGTGTGTGCCTGCATGGCCAAAACCCCAGAGGAGAACAGGAGAACGGAGGAGAAGGGATTGGGGCGTGGCCATACCGCCTGGGGGATAATTTCTCATTTTCCCTCTCTCTGTGTCTCTGCCTCTCTCCACGCCCTACAGCAAAAATCTCAAACAGACAGACAGACAAACAAACAAACAAAAACCTGACAATAATCATGATGAACTAGGCATAGGGAATGGCCCTGGAGCCTGGTGGTTAAGAGGGCTTTCGTCCACCTGGCTAACCGTGGTTCGAATCCTAGTCACAGCTTGAAAAATCACGGAGAACATTTCTGTACACACCCAGAGTGGAGAACTGGAGGAAAAGGGATTGCAGCGTGGCCACGCCCAGTTAGGGGTGTGTTTTCTCCCTCCTGTCTCTCTCTCTCTGTCTCTGTCTCTCCATCTCTCTCCTCTGGCAATTAAAAAACAAAACCATAAAGAAAGAATGAAAGGAATACTCTAGGGTAAAAATTCCCATTCCACAGGAAGGAAGGAGGAATAGTCCCAGCACGTATAAAACTTGGTGACAGACATTCCATCTTTTTCTTTGGAGAGGTTTTTGCTATAGGGCACGTACTTGGTAGAAAGACAGAGAGAGACATAGAGACAGAAAGCGAGAAATCACCCCCTGGAGGGGATGGTCACTCCGCAATCCCTTCTCCTCCATTCTCCTCTCAGGATCTTGGGCACGCGC